GGGTAGAACGGTTCGCGTTCTGCCAGCCATAAGGGCGCGCAATAGGGGACGTTGTGTCCAGTTATTAATACGGTCTTCATAATTTATAACTACCTACATCAAAGAGAAATACCTAGTCTGATTCATGTAATTTTTAACTTGTGCAAGACCGCGATAATGATTGATTTCTATTGTCTCTCGATTCGCTGGCACTTGAAGGGATAAGGGCTGCCTCAAGCAAGTGGAACCATATATCGATAAAATTCGTTTGATATGAATTAAAATTGCGCAAATATCTATAGCTAGACGACTGATAGTCGATATTTAGAGCTTCGAATTAATAACGACCCTTGTACTTAGTACTGGCTGTACTATATTATCTACTTGTATATTACTGTAAACGGCCACACGATTTCTGGTGTACCTAAATGTTCGTCCTAATTATACATACACAAAAGGTGTCCCCAGCTAGATTCAAACCGCAACCACAAATGGCGTTTGCGCACGGTATGTGACCCACAATTTTGCATGCGATCTCCAGTATTTGCCTATTTAGTTGTTGAAGTCATAATATTATCTATAATACCAAAGTCATCAATATAGTACACGAATAAAATCGACCTAATAATAGTCGACTCTAATTGTGTATATTATTAAATTGCACTGTAATAATAAGTATAAAAATCATAATTTTGTAAAGCTAGGGAAAGCCTTAATTAATTTGACCGGCCAGACGTGGGCACTAATAACTAGTTTACAAGGTTTTTTACTCAGAGATGAAACTGATATGTATCGGTAGAGTTATTAACCCTTACAAAAAAACTGAACTTAGAAAAAATTTAGGACGTCAAATTTTGTAAATATTAATTATGTTAATTTTTATCATTTTTATACATTTATCTCTAAAAACAATCAAAACTGAGTCGTGTTACTCCTTCTTTTATACTGATTAGTATCAGTTTCCCTTATTATAGACCAGCAGCAATCCGATAACATATTTTTATCCCAAATTCCTTGGTATCTTTCCTCAAAAACCTTCAAATCCTGGTGAAAACTTTCGCCATGCTCAACACTCACGCTTTCCAGGTTCTCAGGAAAAAAATCCAGATGAGAATGTAAAAAATGAATTTTTAACGACTTATTCACACCCATTATCTGGTAATTCCTCAATAATTTGGAAACAATTTCTGCATAATTTTCAGATAAATTTATAGTTTCCCAGGAAACTTCACTACTGCTTTAAATTAATATCAAGCATCTTTCCCTTACTGGAATTGCTGGGTAATGACGGATAAAGAACTCCTTCAGATTGTAGCACTGTTGTTTTGTGCCTGATGAAACATCAGGATATTGTATGTTCTTGGTTTTTGTTGTCAAAACCTGTAGTTTCAGTGAGGCAGAAGTAACAGTCATTAGTGTGATTTGTTGGTTCTCTCCATAACATTGGGGTGCCGAATTGTATATGTTTTCTTTTTGCTGCAGCCTAGTGTAATAATATACTTCTCAAATTTTCGCACACTACACCAGGAACCCATTTTTTATCAGGTTTGTTACCGAGATTTGAAAGTAATAGAAATACGACCGTTTTACGGCCTCAGTGATTGGTCTCTTCGTTTTTGACAATATAATTTGACCACAAACTTAGCAAAAGTTATTTGGGCTTAATTTACACTGCCTTGGTGACGTTTTAAAATAAGTGAAAATGCTAAAATAATACTTAAATGCAATTAAAATAAAGTAGAAACTCCGACACTGCTAACAAGACAGCTTACTTAGGTTAATGTGGATATCTCAAAAACTTGACGTGATAAAAATATGAGACATAATATTTTTGTAATAAGGGGGCTGGTAGAAAACACATCCAATATGAATTATCTTTGGGTAAAAGAAAAACTTTTTTTTTGTAAACTAGTATTTGTAGGTACTAAATGTTAAAATAGAAAGATACTATATATAATCTTATGAAAAAGCTTTCAATTAATTTTTATTCTAAAAATAACAGTTTTATCAAAATTACCTAAACAAGAAAATATCATAAAACTAGCTTTTGCCCGCGGCTTCACCCGCGTGAATTTTAGTGCCACAGATTTGCATAAATTATAGCCTATATGTTAATCTAGGTTACAAATAATAATACTGTAAGGTTTCAACCAAATCCGTTCAGTAGTTTTTGAAAGAGTAACAAACATCCACACAAACTTTTACCTTTATTTATAATATTATAGGATAACATTGTATACTAATAGAAAACTCTCTTTTAATACTTATAAAATAAAAATCAGCTTGCATTTACTAAGGCAGTTGTGGGTTTGACAGGTATTCGCTGCAATACTTCTCTCGAGTTGCATGTCTATTGAAGAGAAAATAATATGAAATCGCATATTTTTCTGTTAAAAAGCTAGCCAAGCAATTGAGATCTAGATTTTCAATCGATTTTGATGGAAAGTCAGTTATTTCATTCAATATCAAAACTGAGTTGCATGTTCTTTTTTTTCATGTTCCTAGATTAACCTATTTTAATTAGACATCAATAAACCAATAAAATTCAATTTTAACCTGCACATATTAAATAAATTAATATGTTTTAAAACATACGTACATTCTATCAAATGTAATACCTACTTATAATACAGCTAAAAATCTTCATACAATTTCTTTTTAGATTCGAAGTAAGTATCATAAGTAGAATCCCTCTTAGATAGTCTCACCTATGTCTTGAGAAATTACTAAATAATTCAATTGCTATAAAGTAACTTACACTGCGTCGAACTTAGTGATTGAGTAAAGCTCAAATACCAAATCCGTATGCAGTCAAGGTAAATTACTTAGCAACACTAATAAGGCGCTCAGCTTGACTTGGAAATCGCTCAAACAATTTACTACGGCAATGCTTACTTATGTACTTAATGGAATGTGTCAGCTAGTTTACAAAGCAATTTAACTTATAATATTCAATATTCGCTCACTTACAAAATAAGGAGGTAAAGTTTTATAGTCTTCTGGAATAAGTTTTTTTATTAGAAAATTGTTAGGTTGAAGACTTAAAACTTTACACAGGTAAAAATCACGAAACAGTTCATTAATTTAATAATAAAACTTTTCGTGGTAGTTTTATATCAATATTTTAATAGCAGAAAAAAAATGGCATAATGATAATAAACTAGCGGCCGCCCGCGATTTCGTACGCACGGATCCCGTTTTACCCCCATAAGGGTGGAATTTATAGTAAAATCTGTTCTTAGCGGATGTCTATTTTAAGGAAAATACCTGCCTCAAGTTTGTAGGTATTATAGAGTCTGAGATTTTGTGGTTAGTCAGTAAATGGTAGCTAAGTACCTTTTCAAAAACATTTCGTAAGGATTCAACTTTTTGAGCAGATACTACGAGTACGTAAGTAAGTTTCGTGATGTTGAAAACATTAAATTTCACTGAATGGGATTAAAATATAGACCAAAACTAAAAAGCCGGTGAAGTTATTTTTGAAATCCATCAAGAAATGGCTGCTAAATTAATTATTTAAATTACCTCTATATTTTCGCGTGGAACTTTGGCGGTGCCGTGACGTCAGGCCACCTGTTCAAGTTTCAATCATTTTAAATTTGGTCAGGTCTTGGATATGTAAAAAAAGGTTACACAATTTTACTAAGAAAGAATCTTGAGTGACCCTAGCTGAAAAATTAAAAACTACCTACTAGATTTAAAAAAAATCTGTCAACAGCACTGGACCAGTGGTGATTTACTGTTTGTACTCTGAATGACTGTCGTGTCTACACCGATCAAAATGGCGCGAATATTTGTTATGCGCAACTTTAGGGCCCTGTAACTTTTGTATTTGTAGATATATTTTCATGATTCTTTTTAATATTAGTTTTACTTAAAATTTCAAGATTTATTAAAAGAAAAAAAATTGAATCTTGTCCAATTCGATGTCAATAGTACAATTCCCCTTTAACAAATCACCAAAACCTAATTCCTACAATATCAATTCCTCGCTCTCATAATTTTTTATACTGTTAACACATACAGGAGCTAGTTCAGTTTCATAATTCCTAACAAATCAACGTCTCAAAATTAATCTTAAAAGGATACATTCAACATACATAATTATATTACTTGAGCTTGTTGAACGATAAGGGTTTTATGTTTATTTTCTTTTGTTCTCCTGAGTCTCGTAATAGTTTGTAAAATTAAACGGTACCTTCTGATGTTTTTGGAAAAAAGCTGAAATTCAATATTTTAAAGTCAACACAAAATCCAGAAGTGTTAATGACCGGACTTTTTTACCGCAAAGAAAATTTGTGGTGACTTGCAGAAAAGAAGATTTTTCCGGACTCATTGCCCTCGCGCCCTTTTGAATAAAAAACTGCTGAATATTATTTCTTACAAGTGAATTTAATACCTACCTTTTCTTTGGTTGGTTAGCTAAAAAATGTAGCATTTCAAGTTTGCATAGACAGATACTATTTAGCAACAGAATCTTAAGTCATGTTACTTTATTGATTGAAAATATGTTTTTATTCATTGCCATTGCCATTTAATGTGCATTTTCTTTGTGGTAAAAAAGCGCTCGGCATACATTACACAAATGAATTGGTTTCCATTTGCATATCATTCTTTGGTGTTGGATTACCCTCAGTTGCTTTGAAGTTGATATAAACTTTTTCAATCGAAGCTAAGTCAATAAAGAAAGTCATGCAAGTGGATAAAATAAATATAATAATATTAGTTTTAACCTTTATTTTAGAAATAGTGTAAACCCTTGAAAAAGTCGATGTCATAGTGACTTAGCTTCTTGCATTGCTTCTTCTAAGCACTGCCCCAAATATTGTCCCAAAGCAGTGGCAGGGTTAAAGCAATACTGGGACGTCTGTAGCGCTTTTTGGAAGCCTATTTGGGAACAATAAATAAGTTTTAGAGTCTTAACTTAACTTGCAAGATATACCGACAAACGAGACAGGTGAAACTAAATAAAAGCTGGTACAAAGTTTTTTTCAATGTGATTAACATGTTCATCTCCACAGGTCGGCGAGGAGGCCGAAGGTGCGCCGCCTCCTCCCCCTATACTACCGTTGTGTCCGGCCGGCAAGCCGGATGCAGATGTGCTGCCGCTCCTCAACGAAGGTAAGACATGTTCTTTTATATTTTGGATTTTAACACCACCGCACAAGTCTTATTTTGGACGGACCACGCGTTGGGTTGCATGTATTTTTTTATTTTATTTTATTTTTCTGTATTCAGAAAACCACAGCTCTTTATGTAGCAAACAGTCAGCCTATATCAGTACACTGCTGGATATTTAGCCGTCGGGATTATGCTCGGTAAAGTGCCGGAAAACAAAGCGTCTGACCTGTTTACACTACCCGGCTACTTTGTTTAAGAAACAATTATAATCTATACTGGCCCCACCTGTGGCTTAATTCACGTATTTTGACAGTCAAGATCTCACTGACATTCATAAGTCGTCCCATTGAAAAACATTTCTAAATCCGTATTCACAAGGGTCATTTTCGATAGAACGATTACTCTATAGGATCGCAACACTGAATATTTTTTACGTCGTCGCAAAATTGAAGATTTTTTACGTCGTGCCATTGAAAAACAGTTCTTAGTCCGTATTCACAAGTCCGAATCTTGCTAGTTGGAAATTTAATAAAAATGTTATAAAACGTTTTTCATTTGTTGAAAAACGTTTTATAACATTTTTATTAAGCGCGTTTTCCTGATTTTCAATAAAGTGCCGTAAGAATGGGGNGGTATTTTCTTTGCCTACTATTACTTCTCACTATAAATAAATTATTCTAAAACATTGTCACGTGATTTTAATTACCTATAAAATACATTATCATTACTAGTTTTACGTTTTAATACGTGTCATTTCAAAGCTGACCCTTTATTTAAATGAGTAATATTGTCAAAACACAATTTACGCGCAAAGCTTAATAAAAAAATTTCACCCCAAAAATGGTAGTCATAATTTTTCTTACAAATGACAGATAACGAAGCCAACTTTGCAACGCGAATTTTCCCTTTCAATTCAGAAGGCCATTATTGTCGGCCTTTTAAAAATCAAATCCACTCAGAATGGGGTTTCGCTCCTTGTGATTTGCTTCAATAATAACTTCGCAATGCACAGAATATCCTACTAATATTATAAATGCGAAAGTTTGTGTGGATGTCTGGATGTTTGTTACTCTTTCACGCAAAAACTGCTGAACGGATATTGATGAAACTTTACGGTATTATTGTTTAATACCCAGAATAACATATAGGCTGTAACTTATGCCGATCTGTGACAAACTAAATTTCACGCGGGTGAAGCCGCGGGCAAAAGCTAGCAAGTAATAGTTTTGACGAAAATTTTAAGAAAGCACTTAATTTTACGCTTTGAAGAAACAAAGGATCTGTTTGTAAACAGTACCCGCAAAAGATATTTTCTGGAGATAATGTCGATCCAGTTCTGAAAACTCTTTCACAAATTGAAAACAGTTTTTTCGAGTGTTAGGTACTTTTATCTCGGAAATGTTTGCAGATGGTGCACAATAGTCTTTCTGCAACGAAATGGAATATACAGGGGGACTTTGTATAAATAAAAGCTTAACCAAAAATGTAGGTTTTTAATTACTTTGCTCAAAATATGCTTAGAATCTTGACAAAAGAGTAATGATGTAACCAACAACCTCTTGATTGAATAACCAATCTTCAAGGAAATGATTTGATTTTAGCTACTAGCTTTCCCCGCGACTTAGTATGCGTGAAAATAAGTACTTTGAATAATTTTTCCTGTTTTTGCAACATTTTTCTTTACTACTCCGCCCCTATTGGCTGTAGGGTGATGATCTTCGATAAATGGACTATCCAATACAAAAGTATTTTTTCAAATCAAACCAGTAGTTCCTGAGATTAGCGCGTTCAACCAAACAAACAAACAAACTCTTTAGTTTTATAAATTACTTACTTTAGGCAGAAGGCAGGTAGGTTTCAAACCACCGATTTTCATCTATATCCATTTACAAGATAGACGCCTAATTGGTTAATGTACTCCAAAAATTTAGGAAGTTTGTGTAGAAATGGCTAAATGCGAAGCAGGTTGTAAGCTTGGTTGCAAGTGAACCTAGTATAATTAACTAGATAGTTAAAACGCAATTTTAGTCTTGCTAACCGATCGTCCCCCCAAGTTCGATCCAGCTATCGAGGGTAAAGTTTTAAACTGGTTCGAATTGCAATTTACCCACTCGGTAAAACTGGGATTATTTTCGACACGAAGCTTGTTCTACGACTAAATTATTATTGTTCGAAACCACTTCAACTTTTATGCCTCTTTGTGGATCCCGTGGACACGACACGCTACTATTTGAGTAACTCTTAAGATTTATTGGCTGTTCTACTTGCTGTTTATTTAGGTAGACGTTGTATTTTTTATATTCCCTGTAAAGACATTGTGGCAGTAAAAGTCGAAATCATCTTTTGCGGGTTAATAAAATCAACTACCATCACTTATCGTCCACCCTAATTTGGAAAAATTATCTAAAAACAACATAAGTAACTGGCACTGCAGCCACCTACGTTTTATTTTCCATCTGGACCAAAGTTGTATTTTCTTTGCAGCTCACTGAAATAGAATAAAAATATAAAATATAGTAGGTACGTTATGAACGATTTGTCTTCAATTTGCCTCGTGATATTGCACCTTAATCTTTACTCTAATGTAATATGAGCATGTATGAATGAATCAAGTTTCTTGCATGATATATTTTTACTCATAGATGTTACTCGTAAATTATATTTAACATTACCTACACATTCATCAATTGCCAGCATAATTTTTATGCTTGCAACATTAAAACCTACTAAACTTACTAAAATCTTCGACACAATAACACTATTTTAATCATATTATTATACAGGTCACACCTATATCATACAGGTCGGTGTACCTACGAAATACATACAGAAATATTGTTTTGAAAGCTCGTAATAAATTAAAAATGCCTTCCCGACATCAGGTCTGCGAAAATGATGCCATCTACGCTTCCTGTCACACACGATCGATTCGTCTTTAGTTTGAATCGGTCGTCTGTGACAGCGAGCGTGTTTGTCTCTTCACCATTGAAGCACACTTCTACTCTTCACCATTCACCGACTTCTGCATTCTACAGGACATCAAGTATTTCCGATTACAGTGGATGCCGCACACACAAGGCTATGGCCTCGCAGCACATTCTTGTGTGCGAAATCAATTGCAATTTGACTTTTAACTCAAGCTATACTATAACAAATTACTCTAGTAATTATTTTCAAGAGCAATGTTTAAGTTTAAGCTTTTTTCTTTTGTTGCTGTGTACTTGAAGTTGTTTGCCAAAACCTTAAATGTTGACTTCAGACTGACAACTATTTTCGACAGAGACTGAAAACTATTCCTAAAGTTTCTCCTTTCTCTGTTTTGTAAATTGTTTGTTCAGTAGTGATTTATTGTGAAGTTTTTAAATTCCATAATTATACCTAAGGTTAAAATGAAAACAGTAGAATGTTATGCGAATCAAAAGTAAAAAAAAAGTTTTTAACTTTAAGGAAGTCTAAGATCTGAGGTCACTCTTTAAGCTTTTGCCAACTTGTCTCAAACGACAAAACATTTTATCGTTTGAGGCAGATAATAATAAGCCTGTGTTTGAAACTGCGAAGACCTGCCAGCGTGAAGTAGAACTGTCCCCGCGCTCTGTTGCACACGATTGTCTTGTTTCATACGAAACGACTGTGTGCAACATTGCGCGTGTACACGTCATTCGACATTGAAGCAATAAGTAGAACATTATTTTTTTTGACACTTTTTGTAGTTGGGCAGTTGACACCATCAATAATTCCAATACTCAACTTCATAACATTGATATCAATATACTAGAACTACTAACAGTGTGGTTACTAAAGTGAAAATAATATGGTGCAACCCAGGCTTACCCAATTTATTATTGACGGGATTGCTACCATGTACCATAATTTCAGTTTCCTACATTTCGTCATTGTTGCAAGCTTGATCACGGAATAACTGAGGAATATCGGAAACTCGAAATCAAGGTACCATCGGCAACAGTGTTAACTATCCATTGCCTGTCGTGTCGTCTCGTTCATTCGCAAAGAATCACCATTTGATGAGAGCAAGAGCAAAAACGGAAATGGATAGTTAACAGTGTGTCCGTGTGTACATGAAGCTATCCCTTCAATAATAAATTATTATGTTAGTGACCATAAAAGTTTAAAACAAAATAAAATTAATTAAGGTTTTTAAGACCAGAATGAAGTGTCTTTTAAAAAAAGTTGTGCTTTAGAATTATTGGGGAGTGGTGGCAAATACACAATTAGTTAACCAATTATTGGAAAGTCAGCCCTAAATGCAAATTATAACGGATACTTAGTTAGTAAGTTAGAATAGAAGGCTGGTATTACGATTAGAGATGTGTCCGCTTGGTGATGTACGTGGTTGTTTCACTTTGTTTTCAATTGAAACGACCGCTTGTGATATCGAGCCGTTAGGCATACCTATTTAGTATTTTGTCCTGAAGCATGAAATTTTTCAAACAAATCGTGGGTCGAATCACGAAAAGGCGTATCTAACATAATGGCGATATTGAGTTAAACACACCATGTTAATAAAAAACATGTATTTTATAGCCTCACAAAAGATCTTAACTGAATTCATTTTCAGGAAGCCAGTATTGACAGGTAAAAAGGTCCCGAAATGCATTTTTCCATACTTCAAATAATCTTTCAAAGCGTCGCTCCTGTAAAATTGCTAAAAATCAGTTACACCTTTTCGTGATTCGACCCACGAAAATTAAAAAATGTATGTTCTGCATTAATTTTTCTGTATTTTGTGTTTAAAATCTTGTGTTTATCTTGTGTTTTGTACCCTATCATTATTTTGTGTGTAATTTAGAGTTTTCCCCCCATCTGTTAAAATTATTAAATCAATATCCATACCAACCGGAAAACTTTAGGTTTAGGTTAGCTTTTACAGGGTTACACGTCATGATTTTTCTGTTTCTAGTAAATGCATGTACTTAATATCTTTACATTTGAAAAAATATCAAGTTATACTGTAACCATTAAGCATTGTCTACTTTAAAAAT